CTGCATAGGCCTGTTACAGTCTTACTCTGTCTCAAAGCTCCCATTAATCTGCGAATACCTTTCCGGGGAAGTGGAAGAGTGTGTATTTTTGATGTGCTTTCGCGCCTCCTTTTCCCTACTTGATATATTTCGTTGCACCATGACTTTGTCGTCTTGAATTAACTATCTATCTATCAACTGTAAGTCCGTGTATATCGTACACCTATCTCAATCTGATTCGTTTCTGCACAACACAGTGCAAACGTTGAGGATTGCGGTGAATGTTTTCTCCCCTCTCCCTATCTCTTTTCACTTAGTCCTTATCTGCTTCACAGATCACTCTCACGCCTTTGACCGCCCGCTGAACCCCTCTCTACACATTTCTGTCTTCAATTTCGTTCCCTATTTCTAAAAAGCTCATGATTGACATACTTGATGTTTGTCATGTGATTATCGTTACCGCCATTGTCATCATCATTCTTGTCTATCTCCCTATTTCAAATCAAGTTTATCTCCTTATTTACCATTCTTTTGGAGAGCAAGAGAGAGAAAAAAGACATTTTGTCACTTACACTTTTCTTCACTCTGGTTTTCCACCCTCCATGTGACTGACAGCGTGTGAATGGGCGATGGATCGAACCATATGTGTGCACATGTAATCTTCATACATCATCCCCCGTGCAGTCCTCCATACCGTTGCACTCATTCAGCCCTCTGTTGGCTGACTTCGCACATCTCTTGTTTCCCTCTGCTGCCTTATAACCTGTTCATCTCCAATCCGCTCCCATCTGATTCGNTGGTCCCCGGGCTATAGGATCGAATGTCCGGTGCCGCACAAAGGGAACAGATGTATATTTTGTAAATAGTTATCTATCTATACATATATATATATATGTATGTATAAATGCGTACATGCATACACACTATTCTACACACATTAGGAATTGTTCAGGATGCACGCCGCTGTCCGTGTGTTTATGGTGCGTGTTTTTTTCTCGTCGCCGTGGTCCAATGGTCGTTGCACAGTGGTGAAAACCAATTCCCCGCCNTCATTCGCATATGCTCTGTCCCCCTACCATCTCGCGCGCGTGTCCATTCATACGAGTCGCTTATTATTTCTAAGTAGGTCCTCTCTCTAGCAATCCAGTTAACAATATCCAACGTTGATATCCTCCTCCATCCTCATCTTTTTACATTTGTATCCCTTCTGAGCGCACCACTCACACACACACACACACACACTGCTCACCAGCTTCATCATTATCATCATCGAGGTAGTTTTATTTTGCAATTGCTTCGATGTAGAAAAATTTCGTCCTATTTTTCGTCTGTCCATTTGTTTTCCTTCCGATGGGATCTGAACCACGAGGATACCTATACAATCGCATTTGTGTCTGTGGTTGGGTAGATATCGTTTGTTTAAGCCCAACCCTACCAGCCTCCCTCCACGCTCCCCCCCCCCACACACACCCTGTGTGTATTTATTTGTTTTCTAATTCCGGCAATCTGTTGCCCCACAATTCGTGCTCCAAAACACCCCCACGCGCGCATGCTTGTGTGGCCATCCCATCATCCACACAGACAGACTAACGCGTCCATTCGCCCCCGGTCTCCGCTGTGCCCCCTCCTTGCTCTGTACCCGTCTCCTGTCTATCCACGTCCAGTCTCACCGAAACTCACTCAACATATCAGTCCCGTCCATTCATTACATTGTGAAAATAAAGACCATTACTAATGCTTCTGACTTGGATTGGTTCACAATGTATGGGTATTTTTTTTAGATGGAGTGAGGTAAGACTCATCGGGTTTCATCGTAGTTTAATCTATTTGGTATCGGTTGCTCAGTCGATGATATAACTGGATATCATTGACCAATGAAAACTCTCTACAGAGCACGTTGTAGGTCGTTCTACTGTA